GATGTTTCTACAGACTGTGTAGTAAGGAGATATGCAGAGGTATTTTAGGGGGATGGAGAGAAAAAAGCCCTTTACTGTAAAAAAGGCTATGACAATCTTTTTGTTAATCCAGACTTAGGTTGTATGGTAAGAAACCTTCTCAGCTGCGTATTTTTATTCAAAACCAGAAATGTTCTCAGATTAAATTTGGTATTTACAAAGTTGCAAAGCACACACTTCTACAACATTACAGAACTGAATTTCCATCTCCACCTTACAAGGATATTAACCAGACAATCAAAAGGAAAGCTATTTACCCAGAGATTAATACTTCTGTCCACAGGATCTGCAGGTGGTTCTGCCTGATGGTTTTCAGTACATCTGCGATTATTACCGACCCGTTTTTTGAGGCATGTTGAAAACACCATCCTAAACATTATCAAGCAGCAAACTATTATGACAGCAAGATAAAAAGAGATGTCCATGATTAGAACTTGTTCTAAAAAGGTATCTGCTATTAAACACATCATTAACACATTACTGTGTTAAATTACAGTAGGTATTTCAGTGCATGATACAACAATGCCTTATATATAGTTATATCCACTAACCTTATGTCTGTATTTCCTCTTTTAAGACTTTATTTTAGAGACTACTTACCCTGAAATGTTTTTATTTATCCTGTCAGATACTTCAGGACATCTTTTTCAGATGCTCTGAAAAGCAGCTCCCGCTTGACTGAGGTGGGAAGCTTGGATGTTTAAAAAAGTTTGGGAGAGAAATCTTGGGCAAACTCCAGTAATTCTCCCCTCTCCCTCACAGGCGTAAAACCCTATTAAGGTAAAGTTGAAAACTGCTACAACGTCATAGCAAGACAAGGTGTCACAGTTTCCATGGCCCCTAAAGAAAAACTCCAACACGAGCACTCTCTCATGGGTAGCTAAGCAGACAGAATTGAAATAAGAGTTTACTTCCCTAATAGAAAAGACTTCCCCAGAACTCAGCGAGGATAATTTAAAAGCGATGCAAGTGGGGAAACCAAAAGACGCCTGCAGGCTGACTTATTTTTTTACAATGTAAAAAGTCCTTATATAGGAAATGAGCAGCTATACTGGAAACAAAACCAAATGGTTGTATTTTAACTTGCCTGCCGTTTCAGCCACTAATGATACGGCCTCAAGTGCCTGGTCAGTAGGGTATCCGCAATACCAAATTCTCTGTCAAAATGAATTTGCTTTTAACAGGCAAGGTAACATGATGAACTACGGGATCTCTTAAGCAATCTTGTATTTTTCCTTTAAGACCAAGATAACTTGCTACTTCTCCATTCACGATCAAAGAAGGGAAATAATACAAGGAGACAAAGGCAGAAAAAAGAGAGACAGAGCATTTGAAGCTTCAATTTTCTCTCTAACACTTTTTCTTTTAGATCAGCACAATCACTAGATTCACCCTATAGAGCCAGAAGATTAAAAAAGGGAGGTTATATATGGCCAAAAAGAACTCTGGGCAACTTTGCTGATGTGTTTAAAGCTACTGTACTTTACAATTCTTATTTCAGAAGCAAAATGATAAACAAAAAACAAAGCACCTTTAATCTTCAAAGCAATGTATGATCAATAACAACTTCATAGCACTCGATATTCAAGTATCATAATCTGTATTTTACTGCAGGAGAGAAAGACGTGTAGAGAATAAGTGATCTGCCTGGGTCTAATGC